ACACACACACACACACACACACACACACACACACACACACACACACACAGAGACACACACCATATTTTTTCGCCTTTCCACCTTCTTATGGAAAAAAGTTAAGAAGTCAGTTTCACGAATGACGTCATATCGATCAACACGTGACCCCAGAGAGTATATTGTTAAGCATTTTTGTCAAGGGGTTAAGTTTCGCATTTCCTGACATCCCAACCGCTTTCAAATACATTTTTATGTATGTTAGGGGTCTCTTTAGACATTGGAACCTTCACAAACGGATTCTTGACATATTCTTCTGTAAGAATATGAAATAGATTCTTGTCAAATTTCTGTCCCCGTGGTTTTATGCACCCCGCATAATTTAGCAAAATTTGACCATTTTTGGCATAATTTCTGATTATTTTCCTTTATCATTCTTTGTTAAAATTTACAGACTCGCATAATTTCACATTTTTGGGGGTTCAGCTAGCATAATTTCAAAATTTTTCTTCCATAAAACGACGGGGACAGAATTTTCCATATTTTTTTTTTTTTACAAATACCCGATTTTCTAGGGGATCGAACACCGCGGATTCCTTTAAGAAAGGAGAGCTCACGTTTTTTACCCATTAATTTAAGTGACATTCGATTGTTCCTGTGTATTACCGCTACTTTACAAAGTTTCAGAAGGAACAAGGTAGGCCTTCGTCGTAATGTAGGCCCCGTCGTTTTATGCAAGAACAATTCTGAAATTATGCAAACTGAACCCAACAATGTGAAACTATGCGATTCTGTTCATTTTAACAAAGAATGATAACGGAAAGAAATCAGAAATTTTGCAATAAATGGTCCAATTTTGCTAAATTATGAGGGGTGCATAAAACCATGGGGACAGCGTAATGTAGGCTACTGCTTTATCATTTCTCGTTATGATAACAAATTGTTATACACCACCACAACCATTACTACCACAAGGCTCATCATGTCTGTCTGTCAGTCTGTCTGTCTGTCTGTCTGTCTGTCTGTCTGTCTGTTTGCCCTTCTTTCTGTCTGTCTGCCTGTCTGTTTGTTTGTCTGTCCGTCCGTCTGGCACTCATTCTATCTGTCTGTCTATCTGTCCTCCCGTCTGTCTGTCTGTCTGTCTTTCTGTCTCCCC